ATGTTACGATTCCATTTCAATGTTTCCGATTCCATTTCAATGTTTCCGATTGCATTCACAAATTGAATTTTCATAGATTTTGATTTATTTTCATTTTGATTAAATTATTTTGTATGACATTGTGTTGGAATTGAGCTGTGTTGTTTACCATACCGTTCATTTTGTGAGTATAGTTAATTTTTTTATTTTTCATTTCGTTATTTTAACTGTTTTTCTTATATTTCCATGATGAGAACATCAGATCATTGATGTTCCCAATTTTCTGATGGGAACATCAGATCCTTTGGGAATGTATCGAACTAGGGAGTGGGTAATGGTGGGGAGTACGAGGGGCCAGGGGAGATGGAGAGGGTGGGGGGGGACGAGGGACTGGTGGAGTGGGGAATGTTGGGGAGGACAAAGGGATGGGGAGAGGGGGGAATAATGGGGAGGAAGGGGAGACATGGGGAGTGGGAAATGGTTGAGAGAACGAGGGGACGAGGGAGTGAGGAATGGTTAGGAGGTTGGGAGGATGAGGGGATGGGGGGAGGGGGGAATGGTTGGAGGACTAGGAGACAGGGGAGGGTTGCTGTGGCTCAGCAACGCACATGAGTTGCTGAGCTACAGCAACGCATGACCGGGTACAGCTAGTTTAGTTAATAACGAAGAAAAGGCTACAGATGTTCTGTACTCCATTCCTTCCCACAATCAAGAAAGCTACAACCTCAACCTTCAACCATTATTCAATTCTGATAAGCATTAAATGCATTTAACCCATTATACATGATGATTTATTGAATAATAACTTTATGTTATTCTTGCAATGTATTTCTGCATTTTTAACAGAATTTACATTTTAAAAGATTACCTCAATTTTTAGATAGTGGGCTACAGTGCCCTTTGTAGCCAGTGAGCTCCATGATGCTCTGCCATCCACAGAAACTCATTGTCTCACAATTTCTCGACAATAACAAGACAGAGTTCATATTTTCATTAAGCAGTGGTATTCACGGGTAAATAATTAATTAGATTGTTATGCATTGCTAATATCCATAATAATAATAATAATAATACTAATAATAATAATAATAATAATAATACTAATAATAATAATAATAATAATAATAATAATAATAATAATAATAATAATAATAATAATTTTGTTTCCAAGAAGATACATGCGTTTGTGAAATTAAATATAAATAAATAAATAAATATGTTTATTCAGGTAAGGTACATACATACAAGTGATGTTACATTAATGGATTGATATATAGATAGAGCTAGTACATACAATGCCTAAAGCCACTATTACGCAATGCGTTTCGGGCAAGATTACATAAGATTGGTATTTTTATATTTATCCAAAGCCACTAACACTCTGCATAATCTCAGTTTATATACACATGAGCTGGGACACAAACCTTTGCAAGCTGTTTTGCAGTGCATTAGTAGTTTACTGGATAAGAAAAAGTAGAGCTTTAGGTACTGTATTAGCAAGGCTTGAACACTGTCAAAATACTAATATCATCACCACTATTTAAATATAATGACTAATAGCCACATTGAAATATAATTAAATATAGCTAGTAAGGTAAAGTAATATTTATCACTTGTCACTTAATGCACCATCAAATCCGTTCCCAGTCATAAAATTGTCAAGTGTCATAGTCACAATGTAGGTTTTAACTTTATTAAAATTTTAAATTCATGTTATTTGCATAGCATTGTTATACATTTTTTGTGGGGAGTCGGTCGGCCGAGCGGACAGCACACTGGACTTGTGATCCTGTGGTCCTGGGTTCGATCCCAGGCGCCGGCGAGAAACAATGTTTAGAGTTTCTTTCACCCTATGCCCCTGTTAACTAGCAGTAAAATAGGTACCTGGGTGTTAGTCAGCTGTCACGGGCTGCTTCCTGGGGGTGGAGGCCTGGTCGAGGACCGGGCCGCGGGGACACTAAAAAGCCCGGAAATCATCTCAAGATAACCTCAAGATAAGATAGCCTCATCAGTTCCCTGGAAAAATCGGACTAATATTAGATATATTAGTCTGGGGCTTCAGTCACACAGAGTTCGAACCTACCGCGGACCATGAGCAGGGAGTACTGGTCTAGGAAACTCCCTTGTAATAGAGTATATTCATTTTTTTTTGAGATATATACAAGAGTTGTTACATTCTTGTACAGCCACTAGTACGCGTAGCGTTTCGGGCAAGTCCTTAATCCTATGGTCCCTGGAATACGATCCCCTGCCGCGAAGAATCGTTTTTTCATCCAAGTACACATTTTACTGTTGCGTTAAACAGAGGCTACAGTTAAGGATTTGCGCCCAGTAAATCCTCCCAGGCCAGGATACGAACCCATGACATAGCGCTCGCGAAACGCCAGGCGAGTGTCTTACCACTACACCACGGAGACTAATTTGCCATGTCTGCCATGGACCGAGGTTAGACACCCAGAGAGGCAGGCGCCCCAAAACAAACCCCCTCTTGTTAGAAAAATTGCAACATGAGACCGAACAGAGGCTAGAAACTCCCCCGAAGATAAACAAGATAACAAGCAACATGTCATCAGTGTGTCAGGATACCTGATCAACCAGGCTGTGACTCATACGTCAGGCTGCGAGCAGCCGCGTCCAACAGCCTGGTTGATCAGTCCGGCAACCAGGAGGCCTGGTCGACGACCGGGCCTCGGGGACGCTAAGCCCCGGAAGCACCTCAAGGTAACCTCAAGGTAACCCCCCCTTCTTGATCCACCCGAGCCGGCCGCCTGACCGCTGGTTCGTCACCGGAAACTGACTGGGACAATTGTCTATTCTGACCTCTATTGCCTGTCAGGATTTTGACCCTAGCGGTACTGTGTGTTGAACGTTTGTTAGGAGTTAAGTACTCAGGGATGCATGCAGTTACGGCTCTCGTCCCTAAGCACCCTCAAAGTAAACCCCTTGGGTTTCAGGATTACCTTCGCTGGGATCTTCATGTTCCCACTCCAATAGAGGAAGCAGTCGGTTGGCTTCTGCTTCGCCCTTGGGGTCAGCTTCGGTCTTGGAACTGTTGTTTGGCTCGGAGTAGGTAGTAATTGTTGTTGATTGGGGCGCACTGGGCTGCAGCTTGCATAATAGCAGCGACCGTGACTCTCAATCAATAGAGCTGTAGCAATACTAACACAGCTCTACTACTACTAACACATCTGAACTACTAATAACACTAATCAACTACTACTAACACAAGTGTACTGCTTCTAACACAACTGTACTACTACTAACACAGCTGTATTACTACTAACGCAACCTTGCTATGTACGTTATTAGTACGTATTAATGTACTAATAACAATAATCTACTACAACTTACACAACTGCACTACCACTAACACAGATGTACTACTACTAACAGTACTGGACTACTACTAACACAACTGCATTACCACTAACACAGATGTACTACTACTAACACAACTGTACTACTACTAACACAACTGTACTACTACTAACACAACTGTACTACTACTAACACAACTGTACTACTACTAACACAGATGTACTACTACTAACACAACTCAACTACTACTAACACAACTGTACTACTACTAACACAACTGTACTACTACTAACACAACTGTACTACTACTAACAGTACTGGACTACTACTAACACAACTGCATTACCACTAACACAGATGTACTACTACTAACACAACTGTACTACTACTAACACAACTGTACTACTACTAACAGTACTGGACTACTACTAACACAACTGCATTACCACTAACACAGATGTACTACTACTAACACAACTGTACTACTACTAACACAACTGTACTACTACTAACACAACTGTACTACTACTAACACAACTGTACTACTACTAACACAACTGTACTACTACTAACACAACTGTACTACTACTAACACAACTGTACTACTACTAACACAACTGTACTACTACTAACACAAATGTACTACTACTAACACAACTGTACTACTACTAACACAACTGTAATATTACTAACACAACTGTACTACTACTAACACAACTGTACTACTACTAACACAACTGTACTACTACTAACACAACTGTACTACTACTAACACAACTGTAATATTACTAACACAACTGTACTACTACTAACACAACTGTAATATTACTAACACAACTGTACTACTACTAACACAACTGTACTACTACTAACACAACTGTAATATTACTAACACAACTGTACTACTACTAACACAACTGTAATATTACTAACACAACTGTACTACTACTAACACAACTGTACTACTACTAACACAACTGTACTACTACTAACACAACTGTAATATTACTAACACAACTGTACTACTACTAACACAACTGTAATATTACTAACACAACTGTACTACTACTAACACAACTGTACTACTACTAACACAACTGTACTACTACTAACAGTACTGGACTACTACTAACACAACTGCATTACCACTAACACAGATGTACTACCACTAACACAACTGTACTACTACTAACACAACTGTACTAAGACAACTGCATTACCACTAACACAGATGTACTACCACTAACACAGCTGTAATATTACTAACACAACTGTACTACTATTAACACAACTGTACTACTACTCACACAATTGTTGTACTACTAACGCAACTGTACTACTACTAACACAACTGTACTAAGACAACTGTACTACTACTTATAGTAACACTACTGTACTACTGCTAACGTTACTTTACTTCTACTAACACTATTGTTCTACTTAATATGATCACTATGATTCCAGCATCAAAACTGGTAAGATAATATTTTAATATTTTGAGTAGTTTCAATCTGACTAAATTTGTGCATTCTATATATTATTATTATTATTAAACTAATGAGTAAAAGAAAAATATTCAAATCGTTAATAATATTATTTATTGAAACATTAAATCTTTTTGGATGTCATATCTTAATCATCTGCATTTACAAAAGTCCTTATTTGTCACACCGTCCGATGTTTAGGAGATCCAGTAGGTGAACATGAACTCTGGGATAAAGATTTGGTCTCGCTCGCCCAGTATGGAGAGTGACTGCAAGCAACACGAGGGCAATACACTCTCCCACACCTCCAGTATGGACAGTGACTGCAAGCAACACGAGGGCAATAGATGCTCCCACACCTCCAGTATGGACAGTGACTGCAAGCAACACGAGGGCAATACACTCTCCCACACCTCCAGTATGGAGAGTGACTGCAAGCAACACGAGGTCAATAGATGCTCCCACACCTCCAGTATGGAGAGTGACTGCAAGCAACACGAGGGCAATACACTCTCCCACACCTCCAGTATGGACAGTGACTGCAAGCAACACGAGGGCAATACACTCTCCCACACCTCCAGTATGGACAGCGACTGCAAGCAACACGAGGGCAATAGATGCTCCCACACCTCCAGTATGGACAGTGACTGCAAGCAACACGAGGGCAATACACTCTTCCACACCTCCAGTATGGAGAGTGACTGCAAGCAACACGAGGTCAATAGATGCTCCCACACCTCCAGTATGGACAGTGACTGCAAGCAACACGAGGGCAATACACTCTCCCACACCTCCAGTATGGACAGTGACTGCAAGCAACACCAGGGCAATAGATGCTCCCACACCTCCAGTATGGACAGTGACTGCAAGCAACACGAGGGCAATAGATGCTCCCACACCTCCAGTATGGACAGTGACTGCAAGCAACACTAGGGCAATAGATGCTCCCGCACCTTCAGTATGGAGAGTGACTGCAAGCAACACGAGGGCAATAGATGCTCCCACACCTCCAGTATGGAGAGTGACTGCAAGCAACACCAGGGCAATAGATGCTCCCACACCTGCAGTATGGACAGTGACTGCAAGCAACACCACGGCAACAGATGCTCCCGCACCTCCAGCAAGGAAGTTTGTGGTCCGAAGCAGAGCTCAAGCAATCGCAAGCTCTACCTTCCCTACACCTTCTCCTTTGATGAAGAAGGGGCGTAAATAGGTTTGTCTGAACACGACACATTGGGTTCCGATATGTCTATTGTCGACAAGTTTAGTATGAGGGCGCGGAAGATAATAATGCTTTTACTGGATCAAAACAATATGAAGCAATTGAATGAAGCGATGATATAGACCGAGAGTGAGGAGAAAGGGGAAAAAGGCAGGAAGAAACAGATGAAAGAGAGGCAAAATATGGAAAATGTGTAGAATCAGACAGAGTCTATAGAAAAGAGAAAAAATAAATTAAGAAGAACGAAATCAGAGGGAATAAGTTAATCAAAACGATCGAGACCTACAAAGGAAGAGGAGAGAAGACAAGGGACGAAACGTGCCGGATCTCCAGTTGATGGAGACGAGAGAAAACAAGGATCGAAACGGGTTAGACTTTCAGCCGAGGGAGAAAGGAAGATTAATCGGGTCAGTTGTTGTGCCAATGGAGAGGTGGAAGTCAAGCTGGCCCGGCCTACTGTTAAGGGAGAGGTCTAGCGGGCCCGCTCTCCAGAGGTAGATAGCAGATATAAACAACATATGATCGCCAAAAAGAACACGAAGAAAACCGGAAATAAACATATATTGAACGAGATAATTTTACAGAACTAAAACCTTTTGGTTGGAGGTAAAACGAAAAAATTTAATTTTAAGGAAGAGAATCTGCTGAAACAAGTTAATTGTTACGAAGGAGTGATGAAGATGGCGGGAGTTCGTGGATATGAGCCAAACACGATGGATAATTTTGCAAATTAAATTCCCGATAATTTGATAAATTTCTTTACGTCAAGTCAACTGCCAACAATTGATATGATCCAAAAGGCTCCTCGCAAAATAATTAGATTTTAGTTCTGGAAGCGAACATTTGGCAGGCTTCCAGGACCCAAAAACATGAAGTTGATTTTTCTGTTGCATCATTATCTCTCTGATATTCCACAGAACATGATTCCGGGCCTAAAATTAATCTTACTGGTAACAGATCACAAGGACGACATAGTGAGCAAGGAAACAAAAATGATTTAATAATTTGGCATTGATGTAGAGGTGTTCAACTACGATTTTTTTTCTATGATGTCCAGATGGGACTCCCAGTCTTATAAATTAGTCAGTGACCAGAGACTACTGCAGCAGTTCAACGAGAAATACGGCTCAACAAAAACACTCCAAAAGTTAAGTAAAAATAGTTGGTTACCAAAGTTTATGGGAGTAAATAAAGATTGTATAATTTCATGCCTTGCTGAAAACTAAATCGAGTATTGGTATTTAGTTGAACACAGCCGAATTCCAAACGTATAAATAGAAGATATTTCTAAATCAGAGGAGGTAAAAAATATTAAACATGTTACCAATGAATGAAATGCAGGAAAGTAAGACAAAAATTTATATTGTTATAGCATTCGCAAATATAAGTATGGTAAATAAAAAGTTATACATTTGTTATCAATTTAAATTTTGTGGAATACCATCTTTGGTACCCGGCGGTGCCCGGGTGATTTCTTTTGGTAATTACTTACCTCGTCAATGTAACTTCCTCCACTACCTGACAAGAGAACTAATCCACACACCAGAAGATGAGACCACGACGAAATTACCGTCCGTCCTGAACTATTATCAAGTCGATTGTGATGGGAGCGAGGTTGTTATTGTTTTAGATTCAGCTACTCGGAATGAAAAGTTCCAAGTAGCACAGGCTATGGTGAGCCCACAGTGGACTTACCAAGCAAAGGTGCGGGATTGTAACTTGGGAGGCGAGATTGTTTTTGTTTTAGATTCAGCTACTCGGAACAAAAAGTAGCATGGACTACGGTGGGCCCGATGTGGAGCTACCTGGCACAGGAGCTGTGATTGAGGGGGAGGGGGAGTTGTTGTTTACAACAACAACTTTAGACCCACCGCATACTGCAAGGCTTTATCAATATCTCACTCAGCATTTTAACGAGGTGCAAATGGTTGATCGAAAATTTATTATTCAGTTACTCGGAACAAAATGTTCCAAGTAGCATTGGCTATGGTGAGCCTGTAGTGGGGCTGGAACTGAATATGGTGAGCCTATAGTGGGGCTGGAACTGAATATGGTGAGCCTGTAGTGGGGCTGTAACTGAATATGGTGAGCCTGTAGTGGGGCTGGAACTGAATATGGTGAGCCTGTAGTGGGGCTGTAACTGAATATGGTGAGCCTGTAGTGGGGCTGGAACTGAATATGGTGAGCCTGTAGTGGGGCTGTAACTGAATATGGTGAGCCTGTAGTGGGGCTGGAACTGAATATGGTGAGCCTGTAGTGGGGCTGTAACTGAATATGGTGAGCCTGTAGTGGGGCTGGAACTGAATATGGTGAGCCTGTAGTGGGGCTGTAACTGAATATGGTGAGCCTGTAGTGGGGCTGGAACTGAATATGGTGAGCCTGTAGTGGGGCTGGAACTGAATATGGTGAGCCTGTAGTGGGGCTGGAACTGAATATGGTGAGCCTGTAGTGGGGCTGTAACTGAATATGGTGAGCCTGTAGTGGGGCTGGAACTGAATATGGTGAGCCTGTAGTGGAGCTGTAACTGAATAGGGTGAGCCTGTAGTGGGGCTGGAACTGAATATGGTGAGCCTGTAGTGGGGCTGTAACTGAATATGGTGAGCCTGTAGTGGGGCTGTAACTGAATATGGTGAGCCTGTAGTGGGGCTGGAACTGAATATGGTGAGCCTGTAGTGGGGCTGGAACTGAATATGGTGAGCCTGTAGTGGGGCTGGAACTGAATATGGTGAGCCTGTAGTGGGGCTGGAACTGAATAAAATGGGGGAGCGAGGGAGGCACGGGCATTAAGTAAGGCAAGAGAAAGGTGAGAAGTTGTAAAAAAGAGGTAAATTCCTAAAGGAAGATAAGAACAAGAAGAACGGTATGAATGGGAAGGATGTAATAAAGAGGTGTAATAATGAGTGTAAGATTGGGAATGTAGGAATAAGAGGAGAAAGAAAAAGAAAGGGAAAGAGAAAAAAGGGGAATAGGCTCCCTTTCAGTCCAGTCACGTTTGTTAGAAAGCTTAGATCAATTTAAGTTCGTGATATATTGAATTTACTTTATATTAGTATTACTACTTCGAAGTGGGCTGTATTTAAAGTTATCCTGGTTGGTTTTTTACCTGATCACATGTAGGGGGGTTATATTACATATTTTGTTAATCAAATAAATGATAATTGTAATAAACTTTTGAATAATGTCCTTTTAAATGAGTTAGTATTACGACTAAAATGGATTAATTAAAGATTATATTGACTTCAGCTGTTTGGTTGTTAGTGTGAGATCTGATCCTCCAATATCAGACTTTGGTTTGGCTCATGAGGTCCATCCTGGACTCTGTGATTATCTTCAGTTCGTCAAAGGTTATCTGTCGAGTAATTTACACAGTAACAATTGCACAAAAATGTTCTAGTAGATATGTGACTTGAAATAATGAGGATTATGTTATTGATAAAAACCGGCCTCACCATTGCTTTGGTGTTCTCAGTCGACATAACCATATCAGTAAAATTACACAATGCAATGAGATCTCTTCAATTTATTTAGTATACAGTACGGATATAATGCCTTCCTTGGTTGATGAATGAGCTCGCTGTGGCAAGTTCACTGTTGCTTGACGAGTCTTTGCAATCACGAGTCTTTGTAGTGTTGCGTATCTCTAAAACCCTCTCTGGCAACCCTTGTTTATGTTGTTGTTGATTTAGGGGCGACGACGATCGTGGGAACTGATGCGCCCCGGCGTACCCGTGATGGGAGAATCGCGAAGCCTGGAAAAGTGAAACGCCAAGCCTAATAGCGAAACGAGTGACGCCAATCACTAAAAACTAATGTGCCTCGCGGCAAAGAAACGCACAGACGGGCAGATGATTGGGGAGCCCCAGTAGTCCCTCAGGGTGACAAGCACCGGCCCCGCTCCACACAGAGAACATTGGGTAGCAAAACCAAAACTCGGCACCCAACTAAAACGCAAAACGTCATCCAGGGTCCTCCGGCAGAGCAGAAGCCGGCCGCCCACCACGACTGAGGGCACACCAGGAGCCCACCAAGACCCACAACCCCCGACACCTCTCGGCCAAGCCGGCCCCCGAACACCGTCACCCCGCCGGGAGAACCAGCCAGAACTCGCCAAAGAAACCTATCTATCAACACACCCGTGACCCAAGGCGATATGTGCGCCAGGCGTCGTACAACCGGACCGTTGAATATGGATGCCAAACAGCAGTAGGAAAGCCAAAATGCAAAAAAATCTAATCACTAGATTGTTGGTTTAAGGATACGTGATGTTTAAATATATGCTGATGGCATCATGGATCTCCTATTCCCTAATCCTTTTATGACTAACTAATGTAATTATTACAACCAGATTTGCTGGTTATATTAAGTGTTAGTATTATAGTATGTTAGTGTCGGAATTTCCGACACAGTTGAGTATGTACTGTCAAAGAGAAGAGTCAATAGCAACAAAGTCAGGTTTAAGATTTATGTTGGGGAGGTTGTGAACCAGAGCCGATTCGACAAGACAATATCTGTGGAGAGTAGAAGCCAGACAGATTATTTTAGAAGACCAATCAATAGGATGATTAGAGTCACTAACATAATAGACGATGAGCATCGTTTTTGTCTGCAGAAAAAAAACTTTTGTCTGCAGACGAAAGAAACAAAACTTCTTTTGTGTTTCTTAATACTATCGCTGGCAGGCCGCCCGCAGCTGCAACCCGTTCTCGCAAAT